GTACCTTTTCATAACCGAATGTTTTAAACAGAACAGTAAAATAAAGTCCTGGAGACGAGACGGGGTGTGTGGAGTCAGTACAGCTTAGAACATATCATTTCAGTGGATTATGGTTCAGTTATGTTCCCTGACTAAAGGTACTGAGATGTACGCTTGAGGGTCCCACCCCAGTGACAAGAGGGGCACTGCCCAAGTGACAGTTTACCTTTATTTCTGAGAGTGTAGATGCAACCCCAACATTTCTACCACGACATCGGCTGCCACCTCGCTGTGGGGTGGGTGTATGTGCCCTAAAGAGGAGAGTTGTTTCGCAGTTGGTGATCGATGGAACAACTGCCCAAACTCTCCAACCCCAACACCAACCCATTCACATTGTGAGTACATCTCGCCTCTCCTGCTTTGGCTTTAAGGGGAGAGTGGTTTCACTACTGGCAATTGGTGGAACAACTGTCCAATCCCTCTCAAACCACCCCTCAACCCCACCAACCCCCTCACCCATTCACAATGGATATTTGGTAACTACCATCTCTGTAATAATAATAATCATACATACATACATACATATCTCATCTAAACCGCTTATCCTTCTGGGTTGTGGTGAGGTGCTGGAGCCTATCCCAGCAAATTTTATTTATAAGTGCCTTTCAAGATACCTAAGGACACTGTACACATAAGATTAAGACAAAGATATAAAGAAAAGATAAAACATATAAATGAATTTTAGCATTGTTTTGAGCCTGCAACACTAAAAGCCATCTTAAATCTCCAAATGTATGCAACCTGAAGGGTGGGACAGAAAGCAGGTAGGTGTCAAAGGACTGGAGAGAGTGTGAAGGTGAATAGGAGCAGTAAGGTAAGGAGATACCAGATCATGCAGGGACTTAAAAACCAAAAGAAGTGTTTTATACTGTATATGGTAGCAGACAGGGAGCCAGTATAAACTTAAGACAGCGGGAGTTTTATGTTCCCATGGTCTCAAATGTGTAAGAACCTTAGAAGCTGAGTTCTGGACTTCTTCAGACCACAAGCAGGAAGCCCCCCAGGAACAGCATTGCAGTAGTGAAGCCTAGAGGTCATGAAAGCATAAATAGGGGTCTCAGCTACAGAGTGGGAAAGAGAAAAATGTAACTGGACAATGTTCTTAAGATGAAAATATATGGTTTTAGTGGTGTTTTTAATGTGGCCATTGAATGACGATGAGAAGACCAGAACGACAACATGATTCCTAACCTGGGTGACAAAGAACATCATAAAACCTGGGATAGCCAGTGTGGATTGTCCTATTATCTAAGGTGACAGAAAATGCAGTTAGTATAGCCTGAGGTCTTTGATTTAACCAATCAGCAAGTGGAAGTCTGTTTGAGGATTTAGTGTATATATAGATTTGCATAGCATCTGCATAGCAATGGAACTAGAGGCCATGTTGTCTAATGCCACATGGAAACATATACATCATTGTCGGAGCAAAACCTTGTTTCTCCATACTTTACTTTTAATGTAAGTCAGTGGAAGCAGATTTTTTTTCCAAATAATTTTGGCCCGTTTGTTTCGGTTCACTCATCATAAAATTTACAAAAAATGCAAAGAACAACAGGCATTTTTAAATTATGTCAAAAACTGAAAAGCAACAAAAATAGAGATGTGAGGTTTTGTACAGATAGCAGTGATATAATGAAAAGTAAAGGGCCAAGAACTGAGCCCTGGGGAACACCATTGAGGAGAAGAGATGGGTCAGGCCTAAACCTGCCAATAGAAACAAATTGTTGTCTGTCAGAAAGATATGATCTGAACCAAGTACAGAGTCAGTGATAACAGTCAAGTTCTCAAGTCTGCACAGCAGAACAAGTATGTGTAACAAGCCAGCATTAGCTACCAATAAACCATTTGTAACTCTAACCAGTGCAATTTTAGTTTTTTTTTTTAATTCTTAATAAATTTACATGACCAGTCTGAATATGTAGTTAATTCCCAAAGGTCCTTACAACACTGGGCCCAAGAACGATGACAGTCCAGATTATTTAACTTATTTCTAGATGTCATTTTTTTCTGAGGGATTTTGCTTATTTTTTACATCTGCCAATATAGTGAAATAATGCCACTACATAAAATCCCTACACGAAGATAACATCTACAAATATGTTAAATAATTTCACTATATTGACAGGTCATTTTGCTTGTCTGCAAAAAGAAGCAAAAATAATCTGCCAATAATTTCCATAAGTACTCCATAAAATCACTCCAAATGAGAAAATATGTCTGTACATAATATTATAATAAGCTTGCAACATCTCAAGATGAGAGATATTAGATAATTTTGAGTAGATTTTCAACAATTTTACTTCAAAACATAATTTTTGTGCAGTGTAGTTGTGGGTTTTCCTGTTAATACTGTATCTCTACAGAAAAAGACTGTAGAAATACTGTAATCAACTGTATAGTAATTGTATAATTCAGTACTGTAAATAAACAGTAAATTGCACTCAAAAATGTGTGGATATGAAACAAATGAGTTGTGTTGTCTTCAAGTAACTAGTTTATGTGAAATGGACAAAAATGAATGCAAGGACATTTCAATGAATGAAAACTGTTGTTCTTGATATAAAAACATAAATTGCACTGAAATGTGTCAATTTTGTTCTATCAATAGTTAAACTTGACATTGAGCTAGCAAAGTCTATACCGACTCTGTTCAATTTGGCTGAATGCAAATGTGTGACATATTTTAATTAAATTCATAAAACAGTTTATTTTTCTGATGCAGGACAATTCCACCAAAATTCTTTACAGTGTAGAGCTCTGGTATTGCTTAGTGTCACATTATAAAGATAACAGCTGTATCATCTGTACTGTGGAGCCAGTTTGATAGGTGAGATTTGCATAGCTTGACTGGTTTTGCAGTACTACAGATGCATATTAATATGCCTGGCATGGCTTGTGTAGAGGCTGAGTTTAATAACTCAACAAAACTCCATAGAGACGGGCGCCGCAGCTCCCTGACCTACCCCCCCCCCATCTCCGCTTTTCTCTTCCTCAAACTCCATCCGTCTGAGAGAGCAGCGCTGCTACTGCTACTTCCTGCTGTAAAAAAAAGAACAAGCTATGACACATCAACAGTGTTTCTGATCTCTACAAGAGAGCGACAGCCAAGACATGATTAATTAGATCTGTGTGAAAGAGAGAGAGCGAGAGAGAGAGAAAAGGAGACTATACAGTTACTCAAGCCCAACAACTATATACATATTTATGTGGATGTTACGTAACGTGTCCTTTATGTAAATATGGAAATGCTGAATACTTATGAGGTGCAGATTATGTAGCAAACTCCAAACGAACTCTTTTACAAAATGAAAACAACAGGAGCAAGAGCACTGCTTCACATAACGGGGAAGAGCCAATTAATAAATCTCTTTTTCAAATGCTGTACCAAATTCTGCTTAAAATGATGGTAAAATAGGCAGATCTCGCTGCTGTGGGCTGTTTATTGGAGCTGTAACTGTAAATCAGTGACTCATCAATTTATGTGCACTGAGATTGACATGATTTCTGATGCAGGTCTGAGATCTGAGATATGCTCCAAAAAAAGATCTCATTTAGGAAGCAATTCAACATCATATGCAATGATTTGGACTGCCTGTGAAAGATACGTAATCATTTTTGACCATGTGAAAAGGATATTTGGTGATTTTTGATCATGTGAAAAGGAAAATCATACTGAAATCATAAAAAAATCTGGAAAATCATATTAGGGAAATCATATTCAATGATTTTTGACCATGTGAAAACAAAAATTCAAATATTTTTGACAAACTGCAATAAATATTCGACATTTTTTGATTATGTAAAAAGATATTACATGATTTTGATCAAGTGAAAAAGATATGTAAAGATTTTTGACCATCTGCAAAAGATATTTGATGATCTTTGACCATGTAAATAAAAGAAATTCAATTATTTTTGTCCACCGGCAAAAGATATACTGTAATTTTTGATCTTGTAAAAAAATATATGCAAAGATTTTTGACCATTTGAAAAAGATATGAATGATTTCTAACTACCAGCAAAAGGCAATCAATGATTTTTGATGAAGACATTGAACTGGTAAGAGATATTTCATGATTTTTGACCACTTACAAAAAATATTCAATGATTTGAAGTCAATAAATATGGTCCTAAAATATGTCATGAAATTTGGTGCATAAATATCATTTAGTGACTTTGGACAATGTACAAAATACATTCAGTACTTTTTGACCATCTGTGAAACTGAATGATTTGAAACCTAAAAAAGGCATTTATTTTGTTTTTTTGACCATATGAAAAAGATATTTAATGGTTTTTGATCACGTGAAAACAGATATCCAGTGATTTATGACCACTTTCTAAAAATATTCAACAATTTGTGACCACCTGTGAGAGATATCTGAAAGAACAGCACAGAACAAGCACCAAAAACTGTTTAATCTCTGTCACAGGTGGTCAGAAATCCCTCTGGTCCTCGAACATGCTGTGTCTGATGGAGCTGGTTATATCAGTTAGTAAAGTAATGTTGAAATCAGGCTGAGTGCCTGGTTCAGGCTCTCTCTCTCTCTGATAGAAATCTCTGGAGAAAAATGCTGTTGTAATTTTGTGGCTGAGCTCCTGGTGGCAGTTATTCTTGCGTACGTAAAGCAGCCAGATTTCTTCACAACGCTGTGAGTGACTACCCGTTTTTGACTATCGTTTGCCGGCTCTGTCTTGTTATTCCTTTTACTGTATAAACCCTGTGATGGTCTGAAGAGGCACATCAGTCATATTAGTTGAATACATACATCCTGTCTTTTCACACTGAGATATTTAGGTCAGAAATTAGGCAGCGACAGCTTCGCTATTCAGATGGATGCTGGATCATTCTCAGTCTACTGATGAAAGCTTTTGCACATTCTCTCTCTCTCTCACACACACACATAGAGGAAGGGAGAGGACTCGAGAGAGAGATGGAGAGGCAGAGAACGAGAGAGAGAGAGAGAGAGAGAGATAGACTGAGGGAGAGAGAGAGTGTGCGGATGTAGGAGGTGGTTCTTAGACAGACATTAGCCGTTTAGTCCTGCCTCGTTTGGCTTCTCAGACTGCAGATTATCTCCCATTTACAAAAAACCATTCAAACCCTCAAAAGACTTTCACGCAAGCCCTCCTCCGGCAACCAGCAGGATCCAGACGAAGACACGCTCCGAGCTGTGGGTTCATCTATCTCTCTCTCCCTCTCTGTTTGCAGGATGAGTGTGGAGAGACTGGGGATGGCTCTCTCCAGCGTCTGGGACAGCGGGAACGCGACATGGCCGCTGCCCGAGCGTTCCGTTCTTCAGCCGGTGTGGGACTATCTCCGGCAGAACCACGAGAGCACCCTCCGTTCGCCTCTGTTCCCCGTTCTCCTCTCCGTCTCTACCTATCTGCTGCTGATCCTGTTCTACACCATCCTGGACTTGCTAGCTCCCACCTGGCCTAGCATCCGCCGCTACCAGATCCACCCCGACCACACCGTTACCTGGTCCAGCATTGGCAACACTCTGGCCCTCACCACCTACAACCACCTGCTCTACATCTTCCCAGCAGCTGTGGCGCAATGGCTCTGGCGCCCCCCAGTGCCTCTCCCCAGCGAAGCACCTTCGCTAGCTGCCTTCCTGCTCGGGATACTTGGATGCACGGTGGTTTTTGACTTCCAGTATTACCTGTGGCACGTCTTGCACCACCGTGTGAGCTGGCTGTACAGTACCTTCCATGCAATCCACCACCAGTACAGGCAACCGTTCAGCCTGGTGACTCAGTACCTGTCAGGCTGGGAGCTCTTCAGCGTGGGTCTCTGGACCACAGTGGATCCGGTGCTGCTACAATGCCACTGCTTGACTGGCTGGGCCTTTATGATCTTCAACGTGTGGGTCTCTGCGGAGGATCACTGCGGCTACGATTTCCCCTGGGCCATGCACCGCCTGGTGCCCTTCAGCCTTTGGGGTGGCGTCCTGCGCCACGACATCCACCACCTACATCCCGGCACCAACTTCGCACCATTCTTCACGCACTGGGACTGGCTGGCCGGGACTGCCTGCGCTCCCTCCGCAAAGCTTCGTGAAAACGAGAGTGACGAAAACAACACGAAAGCCAACGGACGGAAAGCAGACAAAGGGGCTTGAGAGACCATCCATCAAGAGACGATCTATAGCACCTACACTGCCGTTCAAAAGTTTGGACTCACTGCTCCGATGTTTGGAATCAATGTTCTCAATAATATGAAACAAATTCTGTTGCTGAAAAATGTAAAATTAGTCTGATATGCTAGTCCTGTGCAACTTTATACTTCTGAAATCACTTGTAGGATAGGAAGCTGTAAAATAACAAAAAGATGTTAGATACGTTCAGAAAGATGAACAGAGCTGTGGACTGTTCTAAAATTAGAAAGCTGTAGAGCATCCAGAATGAAGTTATGATTCTTATTATTTTCATATCCAGAATCGATCATATTCAACAAGTGGTCAAATCTCAAAGTGGACAGCTTGGCAAGAAATGACTGTAAATAGATAATCACAGCAGTTAATAATGCAAATACTTGAAATACTTAACGTCTAAAAGAATAGCTTTTTGGTGTTTAGTTTAAAAGACTTAAATCTACACTGTATAAGTTATTATTGTGTATGAAATAACAAAACATATTAATATGACAAGTGATTCCAAACTTTTGAATGATACTACTCCATCCTTCGCACCATTTCCTCTCTATCTCTGTCCACATCATTTTTTTCTGTCCAAGTTTTTGTTTCCAAGAATGTGAATCAGCCCTTATTATTTATTTCTCCTTCATTCATTTTGCTGTTATTTTTTTACTCGAAGTTAAAGATTTCTTACTAACTCCAACGAGTAGTGAAGCTGAGCTATTCGACTGGAAGCTTTTATTGAGTCGTTTGCTGTTAGTTGACTGGATTGTATAAGGCATTTTATTCTTGTGAAGCATATATATTTTTCTAGAGCCTTTCTACTGTTAGTGAATGTGTGGGCATTTCGGAGGCTGTCTCAGGTTAGTAGCTTTGGCCTTTTGTGTGATCCCAGAGTGCTGTGGGTCTCCTGACCCTGAAGACGTGAAGATGTTTTGCTATTGTTAGCTGGCACTGGCATTTACAGGGTACATTTTTTCACTAAAGATTGTCCAATAAAATGCTGCGCTTAAGTCCTGTCTGGTTGTGGCTTGGAGAGATTTTGCTTGCTTTTATTTAGTATCACCATTGAAGAACCTCTTTTGGTTCCCTTAAGAAATGTGTGAAATGATGTTTATGCACAAAAAAAATACAGCATAATTCATATTATATGTCCAATTTCTAACCTCTATCACTTAGAACTAAACAGTCAGACAAAAAGGTACTGTACTGTAAAGGTACATTCATCAAGGTCAATGTAAATGTGCCCTCAAAGGTACAACTATGGTCTTAAGGTCTAGTTGTGGACCTTGAATGAGCTTTAAAGGTACATGACGTTCACTTTTCCAGGGAAAAGGAGCATTTGTACCATTTTATAATGTTTAAAATGGAAAAAAATACATAAAATACCTCAAGGTATATGGAGTACATGCTGCTTAAAAAAAGCATAATTACATAACTGTACAATTATGTTCTCTAACTAAAGGTACTATAGACTTACCTTTGGGGGCACCACTTAAAGACAGTTTAGTAACTTTTATATGTAAATTATGTCTGTTCTGATTGGCTGCCGATTCGTAAAGTAGCCCAAAAACAGTCATTTGAAGTGTGAAGGGGCGGGGCTAAACTGCTATAGGCTAAATATGTGAATGTATCTCAAAGCAACTGAATCAAAACAGGCTGTTTTTTGCAGCTTGGATTCCAAATATGGACTGTATGTACGTTAAAGCACTTCCTAAATTGCTTTACGAAAGATCCACATAATGTAAAGGTTCTAGAAAGAACCATACAATTGGTGTAGAACTTTTACAACATGTGAAGAAGTTCTTCACACTGACAATCATCGCCCGAGGAACCCTCTGTGGCACCTTTTATTTTTGCAGGGTGCAGAATTCGAGCTGAGACTGAAAAGTTGCTAAATCAGTTACTGAGTCGCAGGCAGTGCAGAGCAGAGCTGATACTGTAGAAAAGAGACGGTGCTCTGGAAAAGAAGTGCTGTTCTCAGAATGTCACCCCAGCAGGAATGCAGAGCAGAGCAGTTTTAGCACATAACAGCTGATGCTAGTGTCTAACAGACAAGTGCGTGGGGGAAAGTACACTACAGTAAATGCGCAAGTAAAGCGGCACACCGTGCACTACGTGCTCGAGAGAAGGTAAGGCATCACCAGCTGGATGCTGCAGACAAGCGCTGGCTCTTTGCTGCAAAATGCTAAATGATAAATAATGTTATCCATCAGGATGAAGGTGAACATGTTCTGTGATGGCAGTGTAGTTATAATGTGGTAACAACATGGTAATAACGCAGTAATGCAATTTATTAATAATAGCACAATTAATTTGTTGAAGTTATTATTTTTTTTTCAAAGTACTTCTAGGCTGAAGCACAGCTGCAGAACAGCTGCATATTGCTCTGATTGGCTTTAAAATCAATATTGTGTGCAGACCAGAGCAAAAGAGCGAGAGGCTACGATCACAGAGGTGTTGAACCATTGACTTTATACATGATACATATGATATAAACACTCATCGACTGTGTGGGGTAAATATGATACACACCTTCACTGAATGTGAACCTGATAAACATGACATAAACTCATTGACCGTAAATTTGATAAATATGATACATCTTCATTGACTGTATATAAGATATATATGATATATACTCTCATTGTGTATGTGATATTTATGATATATACAATCATTAATGATATGATAAATATGATATATATGATACATACACTTATTGACTGTATACACACACACACACACAAAATATATATATATACACTCATTAGTTCAGGTTTTCATGTTCAGGTTTATGGTTGGCACACAATTATTACACAACCACCTGATCACAATTATTTGATCAATTGATTGTTTTCCCCAGTTCGTTGCTTTCACAACTGTATATTTATAAACACAATGTGAACAAGAAGAAAGTAGAAAACACATGAATTCAGATACATCATAGGTCTTAGTTCTACTCTCTGACTGGTGCTATAACACCTATAGAGGGCAGCTGTGAGTAACACATGTTTATTTGAGTTCGAGCTTTATTTGTCATCAGTTGGCAACTACTAAAAATGTATATTTAATAGCTACACACAATAAACATAAAATCTCCTTTCATTATTAATTGTAATTATTATCTGAATTAATTACCCTTCTTTTACACACTGTTATTGAATTACTAATAGTATCAAATACATTCTGATGGAGATTAATTTGTCCACTCTTATAGCAATTTGAGCAAATAAGACACATCACGATTCCCAAAACAGAATAATGTGATAAATCACCTTTAACTACACAAAACTGTGATTATTCACAACCAACGAGGCAAAAAATGTGACCAGTCATAGCAACTATACAAAAAATATCATTTAACAACACAAACATTAATCATTATTAATCACAACATTATTAATCACAATAAACTGCACAAAATAACACAATTAATCACAATTAACGACACCATTTACATTTTTACATGTACAGCATTTAGCAGACGCTTTTATCCAGAGCGACTTACAAGAAGTGCTTTGCCTATCTAGAGAAATTATCATTGCTGGTTACCAATAGGTTAGAGAGAAAGCCAGTCCTGAGCTCAGATACTGCTAGAATCAGAAAGTCATTATAGACACCTAGAGAAAAAGGGACAGAGTTAAACACAGCGCAGTGCAATACAATATAATACAGTCAGCAAGATCAGCCAAACTATCATCTGTCCTGATTCGTCTTGACCTCTCAGCAGCTTTTGACACGGTCAACCATACAATCCTTCTGAACGTCCTCACCAACCTTGGAATCCCTGGATCTGCATGGAAGTGGTTCAAGTCCTATCTGGAAGGTCGGTCTTATCAGGTAACCCAAAATGCAAACAATCACGGTTAGCTCCTCAAAATAACGCGATTAATCACGATCAACACACAAATGTGATGAATCACATTTATCATTTTGAAAATAATGCGACTGATCACAATTAACTGCACTAAATAATAAGTTACATCAAAATTAGCTGCACAGAAATGTGATCATCAGCTATCAGTGTGCTTACACACAATTAACTACACAGAAAATCACCATTAGCTCCATGAAGTAATGCAATCAATCGCAACCAACACAAAAATGCGATAAAGCACAATTATCTATGAGAAAACAATGTGATTGGTCATAATTAGTTATTTTAATCGTTTGACAGCCCTGGTTTGTAACACATTGCTGTCGCAAGATTTCGCAATATAATCACGATACTAGTGTGTTATCCACGTCGCGCAGCCCTCGCTGACGGCGGATCATCTCACACTGCTGTTGCTTTGATGCAGTTTCACTCTCAATGCCAATTTCAATTAATCATCTCTTTCAGCCTCCTGCAGCCTCCACTGACACGAGGAGAAAAGCTCTCCATCCTTCAAGCGTGCACTCACACTCACACGCAGCTCAGACTCAATCTCTGATTTGTTTTGCCTTTGTGGAGCCGAAGGTCAGTACCAGTGCGGCGTGTGAATGTGCACGTACATGCGTGTGGATTTGTACGTTTGTTTGTGTGCGTGCACGCATGTGCTAAAGGACGGGTTCTAAAGAGCAGTCGTTGGCGGAGGCCCAGCTCCTCTGCGGCTCTGCAGAGCCGAACAGTGAGCCGTTATCTGAAGCCCAAAACAGGAAGTGCTGATCCATTTTCTCCTCAGGCAGCGCCGCGGTCGCCCCCCTCCGCTTCTGGCACGCCAACAGAGGGTCCTTGAGGAACGTGTAGACCAGCAGGAGATGTGCGCTGGGTTCAAAATGAATGAGAAGACCAGCAGGAAAAGAACCACAATTATGAGAACAGGGTCAGTCAAAAGCAGCTATAACTTACAAAACATCAGCTCAGACTGAGCCTCGTTAAAGCGATAGTTCAGCCAAAATTCAAACGTTTTACACCTCAACACCCCAAATGTAGTCGATCAGCCAAGGCATGTTTGGTGTCAGAAGTTGGCTTCTTTAGTTTGGAGCTATGAGGCTTCAAACCAAGCAAACGCCAGCGTACCCGGTAGATTAGCGGCGAGCTGACATACAGTTAAGTCTTAGTTTACATGCATGCTATAAGTAATCAGATCCAAAATTACACGCATGCATACAGAACTACTAAGTCTAGATGTTACCATGACAACCAGCATCACGTGAGTCCAGTCAGAGTGAGATGAGCAGCAGTGAGCAGTGCTTGTGTTTTTAATTGCTTTAAAATGATGTCAGACTCAGGAAAACGTCCTTCACATGTCCTTATTAAAGAAGGCCGAGAGGAAGACGTCGTGTTCTGAGACACATAAGCTGGACGTCCGTCCCCCCGCCGTCTTTTAAAGATCAGAGCATAAACTTTGTCTCCTCTGCAGACCAGTTTCTGCTCCACAACGTTCAACGGTATACACTTTCACTATGGCGCAACGAACATGATCAGAACGTACTTTCAGATAGGGAATGTAATCAGATACAGACATTTACACGGATATTATTTTTCTATTTAACAGATTATTTACAGAATTACCCACCTCAATCAACC